CATGTACCATACGTCTTACTCTGATCTCAAACACGAGGCAGGATGACAATGATATTTTACCAATATGTCCTCGTGCTCGCCCCCAAAACAGCCTTCTTGGTTGCTCTGGACCCAGTCTGTAAAAGTGTGCTGGGTTGACTGGTTTTATCTCAATGGGGACTTCATTAGCCAGCAGTTTTTTCAGGCCTTTCTTTGCCTCCTCTGCCAGGTCAGGTTTACTGCAAAACAACCCACAGACAGAGAGAAAACACAGTTATATGTTTGCTTTATTTATTCTAACTGCAGTTCTTTAGTAATGCATAATAGCAGTGTTAGCAAAACTGTTGTTTTAAACAATAATAATAAGTTTTACATTTTTTGATGTCTATGAACTTCAAGATTTTTGACTTCAAAAATAAAATGCTAGTGTGGTTTCTCCTGATTAATGATCCTAATCCATGAAGTTTGCATAATAAATAAAGTGAAGTTTTATATGATTATAACTAAAGTGAATACAAAAAACCCCACAGGGTACCTGAAACTAGACAGATGGATAATGACAAATTTAGCAGACTTTATAGCTGGACTGAGATATTAGTGTTGTAAACAACAGCTTAACCAACAGTTAAATCTAAGTTTTAATCAGCTGATATGTGTCGTAGGAGAAACAACACAATCTGGACTTGTCAAAGTGAAAAAGCTCTTGTTAGCACTTCCTCTCAGCTCCTTACCGTACACGCTTGCAAACAAAGACACAATGCAGAGAGAAAACAGTGAAGCTGGAAACATGATTATAAAAAAGTTTTTTTTTAAAAAAACAGCAACTAAAGCGATCTGCAATAGTGTCGTTCACAAGACTGCTCCTTGGTCACACACAAAGTTTTGGTCAGTGTGACTTTAGAGGCCATTCTGCCTGAGGAAGCCTCAAAGGTGCCTAAAATTTACAGAAAACAGTGACTTGGAATGTTATTTTATATAACTTTAAGCACAATGTGGATCAGACGAAGGCACAGTCTAATCCACAATAATAAATAAAGTCAATGCTACCTGAGGTAATGGTGAATAAGTTCCTCCACGGTGAGGAGGTCTTCAGGCGGAGGGACCACTGGCATGGGGAACTGGTGCTGCAGGGGGCTGGGCTGCAGTGTTTGGAAGGAGGCTTGGCAGATTAGTATGGGCTGTCCATGCTGGATGGCCTTCACAGAGCGCACGGTGAAGCTGCGGCCGTCTCGCGTGCGGTCCACCTGGTAAAGCACCGGAACCTTCGGATCACCTGGAAAACACCAAGAACAGTAAAGTGCTATCATAACTGACTGAAAATGAAAACAGGTGCACATTTGCTTGTACAGGAAAAGAAGAGGAGATGAAGCTATTTAAGCCAATCTGTATGCTGTCTCTTTCTCTCTGTCTTTGCTGACTTCCAAATGGATTCTTTGTAATGTTATTCTTTCATCACCGAGGAAGTTCAGCTCATCTTACCTGCTCGGACAAAGTAGCAGTGCAGGGAGTGGGCGTACAGGCTGTCGCTCACAGACTTGGCCGCAGCCACCAGGGCCTGGCCAACTATCTGACCTCCAAACAGACGCTGAGTGCGGGGCACCCAGTGGTGGGTCCCCCTGTGGGAACAGAGGATACACTGCTGAAAGGTAATCAGGCAAATGCTTATAAAAGGTGAACTGAACTTACCACAGAACGTAAAGAAAATTTGTGTTTGGTGGATTATTTTATTTATATACCATTTGAAATCCTGTTTATTTCCCCTTAAATGGTGCCACATTTGGATCTATCATCTTTCGCCTCCGTTGATGACAAGCATTGCTTTTCCAGTGAGGGAGACGCTGCCCCACACCATCATACTGCCTCCACCAAAAGCTGGTGCAGCAATCAGTGTAGTGTTCTCTACATCTTCTCCACACTTTGACCCTATGATCCCGTTGCTGTCGCAGAATATGAACTCATTGCTGAACATAACTTTCCTCCCAACACGTTCTCATCCCAATGTCTAACATACCGACGCAATGTGCCAAATCGTCGGCATGAGAGCCAAATATTCCACATAACAGGGAGCGCATCCCCTGTTATATGGAATATTTGGCCTTAAATTTGGAGTTGGTACTAGGGCTCCATCCAGATAATGCGGCAGCTTGGTTTTGTGGAAAACAGGCTTGAAGTTGTCCTATGCATACTTTCAATAAAGGCCATAATTTCGTTGTACATGTACAATGACAACAAATGCCTATTCCATTGATTCCTAATCAGTCAAACGTGGCGTGCTTAGAGCAGACACCTGCTGACCGCTGTAGGAGGGTCCATGCTCACAGGTGCTGCTTGCTAATCAGGAGCCAATCAGGTCCCTGGTTGTCAACACCTGTGGTACCAGAAGCTCAAAAAGAGTCAGCAGCAGATAGAGAAGGTTTGGGAGGTCGCTGCCTACAATGACGTGTTTTAAATATCACCTTCCTGTTGTATACCGAGCGGGGACCAGTGCACATCAAACAGCGAGCTGCAGTGGAAACTTACCGGTACAGGTCGACATCCAGCTTCTCCAGGTTTAAAACGCTGGTGAGGAGGACGCTTTTCAGGTCCTGCTGATACTGAGAGTTACGGCTCTGCGAAACTTCATCTTGTTCTGATTTCAGTGCCTCATTAGCTTCCAGAATTTTGTTTTTATCGATTAAACCGCTATTTTCATGACATCCGGCGAGTTCTTTCTCCGCCATGTTTGTTTGGAAACTTCTTCTACACTGTAAAAGGAAAAAATGGTGAAAAGTTCATAACTGCCACCTAGCGTTGGGACAAAACACAGACATTTACTACTACCATTAAAGTACCAAAGTTTCTCAGCACTTGAATTGGATCCATTTATTTTGCACTTTTGCAAAGACACGGATCGGGTATAACATTATGAACGCCTGACTAATATTGTGTTGGTTCCCTCTTTTTGCCCTGACCCATCGAGGCATGGACTCCTCTAGACCCCTGAAGGTGTGCTGTCGTATCAACACTAAGGTGTCTATATTGTGATTAGAAAATTAACCACCTGACTGGTTCACTGCATATTTGTGCAGCGTTTATATAGCAGGTCTTCCTTTACATTGTTAATGTTGTAGTGTGTTATCATTGGCATATGGCAAAATATGTAAATGAGTGTCTGAGAACAACATGTTTATTGATTTGAGTTTTACTCTGACGGCATTTTGAAGGGAACGTCTTAATAAGGAGGAAACAATACGTCTCTTACTTGTCGAGGAGTTATCAGTCTTCTTAGCTGTGCTTGAAACAGTCAGAGCAGAATAATGATTTTCCTTTACCAGTCATTCTGGTCATATTATGGCATTTACAGGGATGGCGTTAGGGACACTCATGGACAGTTTAAAGTATTTACAGTTGGTTTACTGTTTTCATTTCTAAATTTGGTAAGCAGTCACAAGATAGTAGGTTTTAGTATACATTCGCAAACAGTTTCCAGACCTTTACAGACTGTTGTTAAAGAAAATTAGATAAATGAGAGACTACACAGTGTTACCCTCTCTAGAGGGATTTGAGACTGCCATCAAATTCCAAATAGTCTTTAACAAAAATTATTTAAACACTTGACATACTTTGTATTGTGAATAAAATATGAGTTTTTAAGATTTGCAAATTATTGCATTGTTTTTATTTACATTTTACAGTGTGCAGTGTCTTTGTACCTTTCATCAACTCAATAAATCCAACTATCAGCTTTTTATTAAAATTTGTCGTCTGTTTGTGGTTTTAAATTAAAATTAAATTATTAGTTAAATTTTAGTTTAGAAATTCCATAAAACTGTCATCATTAATTAAATATCGTATATACAGAAATCGAGCAGCAGGCCAGAGACGCAGAGATGACTATCAGGAAATGTGCATCATCTGTGTTGAGTCAGCGACATGTATCCACAACTCTTCAAAAGCTGTACCAAAAGAACAATTTTCTATGTGTGTGCAGTTAACCTGATATTTAATCTTTTCAAAAACGATTTGTAAAAAACAAAAAGGTTCTTGCTAAATGTGAAGACTTTGTGCACTGTTGCAATCTTGAGTTGAAACTGATTTTTTTTTTTTTATGTTGCTGTTGACTTTGACTTTAAAGTGACTGATTGTTTAAGGTTGACTGTTTTTGCTTTTGTTGGGAGGAAAAAAAAGATTTGTTCACTGCAGGAACCATGACTGAGTCAAGTCTATAAACTACAGTTTTCAGTGCGTCATTTGGGAGAAACATTTTCCCAAATGTACTTTACATTATACCTGCATGTTGTTATGTTTTTGTTTTTTGTTTTTTTTACTTTCTGCTTTGTTGATGGAAATGTGTTGATAACATGTTATACTCATAAGACCAACCTTTTTAATACATAATCACCAGTGATAACTGCCATTTCAAACCCAAAGCTGAAGTATCTCACATGTAATAGTGTTACGTCTGTGTTAATGACTTTGGCCATGGCAGTGAACTGAAAACGATGTCTCTGGCACTGATGTCAAATTCTGACTGCTATGCACTGCCTCTCCTCCTTATATTCAGATGTATTTGGTGCTTAAAGTGATTCAAGCGTTGATCTGAAGTATTAAGGAGAGAACAGCGCAGCAGACTTCAGAGGGATCGAGCAGCACAAACTATGAATTTAACCAACATTGACATGGTTTGCATGAACTGGACAGAAGGCTGAAACCAAAGCATGGATTCAGACGAAGATTCCATTAAGAGGCTGCCCATTTTCAGCTAATACCAAGCAGGCCATGACTCTGATGCTACCTTCAGAGGCTGTAGGATCTATTGCTTTCAAATGTGGCCTGATATTTAAGACATTAAAGGGCAAAGAAAAAACACTAAAAGGCACAAGCCTTTCTTACCAAATTGCACAAACCGGGACTGCAACAGAGGACAGATTTAAATGGAGTTCTTTATTATATGAATTTGAATCAATATTGCGCTTTCCTAGTTTTATTTACCACTCAAATTCACTTACTACCTGTTAACGTTGCTGATTTTGCGAGCAACACCTGAAGGCGCCATGATGCTGCGCGCGTAATGGATTTCCCCAGCGCTGCTGCTTTTCGGGGACCAGGAGCTGCAGCTGCAGCACTCCGACCACATTTAATCCGCACCACCTCTTGATGCCGGTGACCTTGGCTGACGGAGATCGCCCCTTTCAGTCTCGTGTCGCCGTCTTGTTTTCACCATGGCATCATCGGATGGGCTGGAGGAGGACTGTGTGTTGCAGCGGGGAAGATCTCAGAGTGACCCGAGCAGCATCACCGAGGTCCGCCTGGGTGAAGCGCACAGAGCAGGTAAGAGGAGGGGGGCGGTAATCCGACTGCTTGTTGGACATGTGTCAGCTGTCTCATTTACTGCTGCTTCACGCGGTCGACTGGGTAGGCGTGACATCACGGAGTCCGGGCTCGCCCGCATCCAGTCACGCAGACTGCACCCGTGGTGGTCCCACTTCATTTGTGTGCTTGTGTTGTAAACGTGCGTCATTTACTACCCAGTGCTCGCTCTGGCTGTGAGAAGTAGGCCTTCTGTGTGGCTGCCTTTAAAATATCAACCACACCGTAATGAATCAGGCTATGATGGGTTTTTTCCCCCACTAGTGTCATGCAGGTCATATGTAGAGTCCCCCTTTTTAAGCATTGCACTGATTTTATCCCAATAATGGCATCCAGACTTGTAACATCAGCTCCTCATTGCCCAAATCTCCTTCACATCATCAGGCTGTGACATCTTTGAATAAACACGATGTCATGATGTAGAACTGGGTGTTCTCTCTCTCCTCCCCCTCACTATTCTCGCTCTCTTATTTCTGCATTTGTGAACGAGGTGTGTGCTTGCAGCATGGGGGCACACAAGTTGCTATCACACATGGACTGCAGTGTGTTGAGCCGAAGCTGACGAGAGTGCTGGTTGTGTATTTGGCTGTTTCCATGGTGATCTAAATGGCAGAAGGCAGCGCTTGGCTCTCCAACTGTGAGACGACATGGTGTTTGTCTGTCTGCTCCACACTGGTGATGTACAGCAGCCAGCAATTCAAAGCGAAATGCCACTTAGGCCGTGAGTTGTGCTTATTCGTGAGGTGGGATTCGCAGTTCCACCGGGAGTCTGTGGGAAGGCGTTCACTGTTGCTGTGTAGATGTGAAGCAGGAGTCATAAAAATGTTCTGCTTTCAAAGGTACTGAGCGACAGACTCATGTGAAAGTGTGTTGGATGATTATTTGCAGGCTGGAAGCACAATGCTGTTTGTTTGCCAGCAGTACATTCAACTGGTTTCAGGTAAACGGCAACCTCAAGGTCCGAAAACTGAAGCCAACACGGAAGTGCCAAACACTACACTTCCTCTAATGGCCACTAGAGGCTGGCTTCTGGAATGAGTCAATCCTCAGATGATAAAATGTACAACTTTACATGTTTACAGCCTCACACTTAAAAGCTTTTGGCCGTTATGAATATTTCCCCTTTGTAACAGCTGTGTGGAGGGTGATTTTTCTTTAAAAAAAAAAAGAGTCATCCATCTCGATACTGTTAATGCTTAAAGTTAAGGGTGTGGCCATTTTGATTGTTTGCTAACATGGGCAGCTAGCTGGTTACTGAAATGAACTCTTGGCCATATTTATGGTGGTACCTTGCCCCTAACCCCTCCACCACTCCACAGTGATTATGCATAGAGGTTTAAACCATTTTTTTCCTGCACCAGGCCATGAACATGGCTTTTAATGCTGTGAAGTTGGGCATTTCAATGAGGGAGTCCTTGGGGTTTGACTTGCTTTTGGAGTCAGCATCAAGTTGCCATTAGATGAAATGCTGTCTTTGTATGTTCTGCGTTGGCTTCATTCCAGAGGCTGTTGCTCAGTGGCTCCAAAAATCCAGAAATATTGCATGGCATCATTCAAAATGGCAATGTTGGGACTTGGAAATACAAATTCCAAAAGCAATGCGTGCCTACATACACCCATCTTTTATATACGGTCCATGGTTTCACAGCCAAAGTGATGAGTGCAGACATTGATGCTGCTGTATCTCTACAAATAAGAGGCTCAGTTACTGAATCACAAGTGTGGGGGTTGCAGTATAATGCACATGACAGGATTCATTCATCTTGTGGCATGCATGCCACACTTTCATTTTCACCAGTGTGTGATGTTACAGTCTGTTTGAACATTGGACTCCTTCAGCTGGCTGTCTTTAGAGAAGGAGAGCCACAGCAATGCTGCAGAAAAGGATGTTCATGCCTTCGGTTTCTACTGCTTGTCACGTTGTTGTGGTTGTTATAGTTACGTAACAGCGTTGGTGTATATGTGAAACTCTAAGGCATCACTGGCAGGGTTGTCCTGTCATATGCCGCTTATTACCATTTTTATCTAAATGTCAAATAGGCTCAGATCTCATTTCATCTCATCTCTGAAGCACTGTGGCAGATTTCTCCCGAAAAGCTGGACATTTCCAGTGCAGCATTAGACAGACAGAGCTCAGGCAATGCAGCAAGTGCAAACCTGCCTGTCCTGTTCCTCCCCCACTTCTCCATCCCCTCAGATCGGTGCTAACCCTTTCCGAGCCCCCTACTGCGGCTTTGATCCTTCTACTTGAAGAATCCTATCCATTAGAGGGGAGGGAAAGGGGAGTGACAGATCACTGATGGTGGTATTATCACAGCACCCAGCTGGGCAATGTCAAACTGAATCAGCTGCACAATCGACCGGACTTAATACAAATGACTTCTTACAATGTAAACATTTCCTCTGAATTACAAGGTTGTAACCAGAAATGGAAAATCACTTGCCATTTGTGCTTAGTCCTCACTCAGTACGTTTAGCATCTGTTAAGCACTGAAGACTGATTTAACCCAAATACTTGTTACCCTGAAGTTTAAAGGTTGTCAGACAGGTCTTTGCTTTACCAACTAGTCAGCAGGCTGAGAACAGAACAGCATGCCATGTATTAAAATCTCTCCCTATGGACTTCGTTAAGTGGTGATAAGCAGCCGCCTTGATCAGCCCATACAGGTTACATCATTGTCTCTGCTAGAGATGGTGCAGAACAATATGTGCCGCCAAAAACATTGTAGCCCAAAGGTGGATTCAAATTCACATTTTGGCATTTACACTAAGAGTCAAAAATTTGGACATACCTTCTCATTTAATGTTTTTTCTTTATTCCATATTGTAGATTCTCACTGAAGGCATCAAAACTATGAATGAACACATATGGAATTATGTAGTAAAACAGCCACCCTTAGCTTTGATTCCTGCTTTGGACACTCTCGGCATTCTCTCGATGAACTTCATGAGGTCGTCATCTGAAATGGTTTTCCAACAGTCTTGAAGGAGTTCCCAGAGATGCTGAGCACTCGTTGGTCCTTTTGCCTTCACTCTGCGCTCCATCTCATCCCAAACCATCTATATTGGGTTAAGGTCAGGTGACTGTGGAGGCCAGGCCATCTGGTGCAGCACTCCATCACTCTCCTTCTTGGTCAGATAGCCCTTACACAGCCTGGAGGTGTGTTTGGGGTCGTTGTCCTGTTGAAAAATTAATGATGGTCTAACTAAATGCAGGATGCTGTGGTAGCCATGCTGGTTCAGTGTGCCTTCAGTTTTGAATAAATCCCCAACAGTGTCACCAGCAAAGCACCCCACACCATCACACCTCCTCCACCATGCTTCACGGTGGGATCCATGCACGTGGAGACCATCCGTTTACCTTTTCTGCGTCGCACAAAGACACGGCAGGTGGAACCAAAGATCTCAGATCTGTACTCACCAGACCAAGGCACAGATTTCCACTGGTCTAATGTCCACTCTTTGTGTTTCTTGACCCAAACAAATCTCTTCTGCTTGTGTTTTTTTCTTAGTAGTGGTTTCTTAGCAGCTATTTGACTATAAAGGCCTGATTCACAGTCTCCTCTGAACAGTTGATGTAGGGATGTGTCTGCTACTGGAACTCTGTGTGGCATTTATCTGTGCTCTAATCTGAGATGCGGTTCCTGAGGCTGGTGTGTGGAGGGGTGTGGTTTGTGGCTCGGCTGCAGAGGACGTGTGGAGTGAGGTCCCAGTGTGGTGTTAGGGGGGAGGCTGACTTGCACACCTGACCTCCATCATCGAATCATGACTCCTCTTTAAAGGATGTTGCCAGACAGGAGGGGAGAGCGGTGTGGCAGCTGGTAAGCTGCTCAGACAGAAAGTGCCTAAACGTATACACAAGAAAACGCATAGCAACGTGCAACACTGTGTGTGTGGGTTCTCATTCGTGCCACATGATGACTCGGATGAATGTATCCTCAGCAGCAGAGGTGGCTCTTGGTCTTGCTTTCCTGGTGCGGTCCTCATGTGAGCCAGTTTCATCGTAGCGCTTGATGGTTTTTGCGACTGCATTTGGGGATGCATTAAAAGTTTTAGCAATTCTCAATTTCCCTTTAGCTCTACATTTTCATTTTACAGTTTATATTGCTTTTAACTAATCTTGCTAACCGACTAGCTCACGAAATGTTGCATATTTCAAAAGGTAGTCAGTAAATTAAAATAAAATAATGCAGACTTACATACAATAGGCTATTCATATTAATGTACAGAATTCACCTGCTTGCTGCTACTACTGCACATTCACCCAGTGTATATACTATATGTATGTATATATATATATATAATGTTCTTCCTCTACACCCCCCCCCCCCCCCCCCCCCCCCCCAATTTTTGCACATGTCGAGGAGCGTGTCAGGCTACATTTCACTGTGTGTTATACTTGTATAACTATGCATGTGACAAATAAAGAACCTTGAACCTTGAAATACAAAACTAAAATAGTTTAGTGAGACAAAACTTGCAATGTGTATAGATAAGAAAAGGTTTGCTAGCTGCCTAGCTTAAAGCAGGTAGCATTGTTCAAAATGCAGGCTGAAAAACAATAAATAAAATAATACAGAGTGTTCTCATATAGTTTTCCAATGCTGTGATCAATTGTCAGCAGTGTTTTACAGTTTACCAGATTTACTACCTGCAGTCTAACAGCTGAAGCTTTTTGCTCAACAGGGTTTATTTTTGTAATATTATGAAGCAAGCTGCAAGCAAGTACACACACATAATGTCAACATTGATAATGATAATATATATGATACAGTATTATCATTAAATGTTAGAATTGAACGTATCTTATTAACTGTATTAAGACAGAAAATTCTTTAAGTTAAACGAAGTATTCATTTATGCCAAATGTACTGTTGCTTGTGCACTAAAGATGTGAAGCTTGCTGACACTGTAACATTGCCCTGTCCCTCCCTGCTGTTGCCTTTAGCCTGCAGGAGCCT